TTGGAGCTTCCTCGTCAGCTCTCAGAGTACAGTTTGAAGATTTTTAAACCTTCTAGCCAGTTAGTCCTTTAAATTCAAACTTTAATATTTAGCCTTCAGCTCTTTCTCTGAGATGGATCACTTTTTGCTAGTGCATTTTTTTTTTCAGTCCTAGAAATTGAACCCAAGGCCTTTGCAATGAGCTACATCCCCAGTCCTATATATTTTTATGTTTTATATTGAGATAGAATCTTACTAAGTCTCTAAATTTCCCAGGCTGTGCTCAAATTTGCAGTCCTACTTCATCCTCCCAAAGTGCTGGGAATGACAGGTGGTACACCACCACATCTGGATTCCCTAGTGCATTCTAACAAATATGAACTCCTGAGCCACCTCAGATCTGCAGGACACTGATCTGCACTGTGCCAGGTGTAGTGGGCTCTGGCCCTTACTGTAGTGACAGACCTGGTTGTAACTGGCGCTTTTAGATAGACAGGAAGACTCCAGGGTACAGTTCTGTCTCGTCATCCAAGACTATGAAGCTGTGCTTCCTCATATCCAGGATGCTGCTCTTGCCAAGCCCTGAATCTCCTCCTCATGAGAGAACATTTCCACCATAGACTTACCATAGGAAAACATACTTGCTAGGCGTATTTGACTACCTGGTATAGGGAAAAAACAGGCCTATGGCTTCCAGATTACTACAAATAATAAGGGGTAAGTTTTGGTGAAGTATTAGTTTAACCCATTAAGTGATACTTAAGAATCAAACGGTAGGGAACCAGAGAAGAAGCACAGAAGGCACAGATACTGCGATGGGTAGGTTATACATACATAACAGCACCTCTGCGGTCCTAGACTTTCCTCCTCCATGCAGCCTGGATCCCAGGGACCTTCTTTATGGCTGGATATTCATGGTTTGTCTGAGCTGCTTGCCCAGTTGTGTTGCATTGATCGAGTTTTGATTATTAGTTACCTTTAAGCCAATGACAGCGCGTGCTCTTATAGTCTCTTCACTTTTATATCTCTGCAGTTTGAGGAGGGGAGCATTAAATTTGATAAATGGTGGTGGAGACAGTGTCCCCAGTGAGCAGGACACTGCTTAATAGAAAGACAAGCCAGGAGAGCTCTCACCTGGCCTCTGCTTGCAGTACTTAGATGTTAAACACACAGACTGAGACTGTTCTGTGCTCTGTAGCTACAACTCACTGTCTTCTGGCACTGAGATTCCTTTGAAATGCTGCTAAATTACACACTTTCAAAGAACTCTGGTACCTTGTCAGCCATGTTAACTCACATGTTCTCAGAACTATACAATAAGTGTTGTCTATTCAAGGAAAGGTTACTGCAGGAACAGTATTGATGTAGCTTGGCTGCGAACCTTTGTTCTTTGAACACAGTGCGCACATAAGATGAAGACTGTCCCTGGCATTGTGTCACACAGTAGAACACTGGCCTGCTGACTAAACAGATATCACTGCCAAGGTGAATTACTGAATTCCAACCAGCCTCACTCACTAGTTTCCCTCCCTTTTCTCCCACACAGTGTCCTACTTTTTTATTAGACAAATTGTCTTCCACTCTTGCAAGTAATTGCTGTATTTCACTGAGCATTACTACAGCAGTTTCCCTCTGTGTTTTTAAACTAGTACTCGATGAATTCCATTGGAGCAGAACAAATAATGATGTGTATGCATCTGCTCACATACCCACCTAGCACTGCATTACCAAGAGTCCCTGTGCTTCAACTCCTGTCACTGCTGAGCTAATCACATCATCCAGCTACTGTTACTTTACTAAACATGGGTGACTTCATTTCAGCACTTCCGGGAGAGGACTATCTGGGATACTCCCTTCCAATAGAGGAAGTGGGCTGATGAGGCCCAGTGTTCTCCTTCCAGATCCTTCACATCTCTGGGAAGCTGCATCCTCTGTAAAAAATAGATCTGTCTGTGTGCCAGAGTGTAACCCTGACGTTCAACAGGGCAATGGGAGGAGGTCACACAGACCTTGTCTGTTTCAGCAGTACGCCTCCCTTTTGGCAGGGATTCGAGGGGAAGTATTTAACAATGGGATTTTATAAAAGCCAGTGTAGTAAAGAATGTTTTCATATTTGAATGGATCTGAGGAAGTTTCCTTTTTCTCCCCTGATAAGTACAGGGTATTTAAGGGTAATGGTGTCTGTGGATTTGTAGGGAGGATTTGGCTGTTTTATTGGACCTTACGGAAAAATTTTGTCATTTTATCATTTCCATGAAAGGTAGTTACCAGAAGAATAAGTTGTAGTCTCTTAACTTCATACTGATCTCAAATATTTTGCTTAAGGGGAATTAGTGAGGAAGTAACAGTCTTTCAGAAAGGTGATTTATTCAACAGCCAGAACTCTTTTAGTGTCTCTAGTCATACCAGAAATCATGAGGTAATTTTCTTTCACACATGTACCATAAGACATTTAAAAGCTTTAAGTGCAAATCATTGGATGTTAAAAAATAAAAATTGCACATAGTAGAAGGAAAGATGTTCTTGTCTTCATCCCCTCTCTGCTTCCAGCCACTTCTGGTCTTCAAGGTAGGTCTGAGGTCCCCATCAGATTTGCTACGTGATTAGGAGAGGCAGTTTGCCGAGGACCGAAGGTAAGCCCCTTTCCTCCAAGACCCACAGTGTTTGCAGGCTTAGGACTCCACAGTGGGGTGGGTCTTCCCTAGCCAGGGACCCATGTCACCATAACGTCCAAGGTTACCTTCCTGTGCTCAGAGTATTTCAGTGTCTGCTGGGAAGAGTAAGGCAATGATGACAACAGTTTGGACAGGGAACGAATCCTGGCATCATATTTTGCACATATGAACTTCACTTGATCAATGTTTATGGGGCCTTCATTCGCAGAGAGCAGCGCAGCCTCCTTTGTGAAGTAGATATTTAAAGAAGATAAAGACAAAAAGGGTTGCACAAGAGAAGAAAAACTACTGAGAGTTTGAGTTGACGTTTGACAGGAAGGAATGTACAGGGTCCCCTGAGCTCAGTGAGTTTCAGGAAGCAGTTTAGGACAGACATTGGAGCATTTTGAGTAACAGACACTGGACAGATGGACTAGGGATGCAGGTATCCTGGAATGCCAAAGAGCAAGTGCAGAGGCTAGTGGGCTGAGAAGCAGAGCCTGCTTGGGAGGAAGAGCTCGTGGGTGGGCATAAGAACACCATGGAAAGAATCAGGAACATGACAGGCGGGTAGAGGAAGAGGCCTTGCCGGGTTCTGCAGAGGAGAAGGAGAACGAGGCCAGGATGTGGAGGGAAGAGGGAAATCAAGGAAGGAGAAACCCTGGTGTCCATCGCTGCAGATAGATCCATTGAGTATTTGGCCTTGGACAGAAGGTGTCTTTTGGAAGATGTTAGGAGGGATTGGATTTGTTTTTTGTCTGTTTGTTTTTGGTACCAGGGATCAAACTCGGGACCTCGTGCTTACGAAGCAGGTGGCAGAACTTCTGAGCTAAATCCCCAGCTCTAGGATAGATGTGAGAAGGGGGTGTTGTGAGGTGGGGGACAGTAGGAAGTGAGGCAGATCACACTTGAAGGGCATGAGAAGAGGAAAGAGGGTGGCTTGGAGAAGCTGCTGTGACGTGAGGGTAACAGTGGATGCAGAAGAAACTGCTTCCCTGAGGCCTAGGTCAGAGGCCATGAGTTAGCCTGGCACGTATCTACTTCGTGTCATGGGTATTCTCCTAGCCCTAAGTCAGAAGTCCAAATACAGGCACTAAGCAGGGAGAACATCGTCCCCTGGAGAGCCACCTGAGGAAACATGCCACTGTTTGGCCAAGTAGGGGCCACCGCTGTAGAGTACCCACTCTGGTCTCTTGGTAAATGAGGCCCTTGCCTTATCTAGCAGCAGCCGCTTTGTCCCCCGTCTTCCCATGGGCACTCCAAAGTCTTTGGTTGTGCCATGACCTCAAAGTAGTCTGAGCCCACAAATCTGGCTTGGCTCAGTGGAGTCTGGTGCAGAAGACTTTGTTTCTGTGAGACCTTTTAATATTTCTATCCTTGAGCATCGTGCATTGACTTATACACTCCAGGGCCTAACTATGCAGGGTGGCATTGATTTGTTTGATCCCGTGCAGGGATGAGCCAATCCTCATAAGTGAATTATACTGCACATAAAACTGTCACAACTGAACAGTCATAAAAGACAGTTTCTATGATGCATCTGTTATTTGGTTTCCCTAAGGAGACTAATGTGCCTTATTTACAGCATTTTCCTGATGGCTTTCTGCCCTGGGTAGAAACGTCAGTTGCTGGGATATGCATGTGGAGTACATTGACGCCTCTGATATTCTGGTTTGGGTTTGAATTTTGGGCCTTAACTGCTAATCTCTCTCTGACTGAGTCATGCCTTCACCCCAGACTGTCTGATACTCCTTCGCCCCTTTCTGCACCTAGAACAGTGCCAGTAGAAGTCCTGCACATATACTTGGTTATCTTCTGATAGCACAATATAGATAGCACAATCTCTTAATGGCGGCTGCAATCACACTGGCTTACTGAGTTATTTGGCAATTCTCAGGATTACTCAGGTTTGGTGTAGTGTCAGTTAAAACTCCTTCCTTTGCTCTGTGAATTGCTCTTCAGCCCCATTTAGTTAGAGTTCAGCCATTACCAAAGTTTGAACAGGTACCGAACGTACAGGGGCCACTGCTGTGTCGTTTCCTCCGTGGGAAGTTTCCTGGCCATGCTGCCTGGCTGCTGAGTTAGATTTGGTCTTTGAAGTAATGTCGGAGTCCTTTGGGATCTTCATATGCTCATCTGACATAATTATTAATGTTTTTAGTTTTGTGTCGAATTGGGAAAGCCTGATATTAATAAAGACTAAAGTTACACGGTTGCATAGGGAATGCTCAGGCCAAGGGACAGCCACGGGGGCTCCTTGCAAGCTCTTCCAGATGGGCATCTCTTGGTCATCAGTTTCTTCAGGGCACGTTTGTCCAGTACTTGTGCATTTCCCTAAAAGCATCAGGATTCACTGCACTTCTCCACAACCACATCTTAGGAGATTTGCTCAGATATACTTGTCCCGGCAGCTTCTTTTTATCTGTCCTTCCTGTAATCACATTAAAAAGGGAGCAAATAAAAATCAACACCCACACTATATAAATACCTGCCTGCCTTCTCTCCCAGACCCTTCTCAGAAAAGATAAAGGTAATTTTGGATCCAAGGCCGAGGATTTCAAACATTCATTACCCATTTCATAAACATTTGCTAAGCTGTTACTCTGTGCTGAGGGGTTGGAGATACAACTGTGAGCGGATCGGACATCAACCCTGCCCTTCCTAGAAATGTCCCTTCCTGCCAGCTTCCGGAAGAGGCTGCTGGAGGCGGGGAGCTGGAGCTGAAGCAGCTGCTCAGTGAGTGGTGGACACAAAATGGAAACTTTGCGATTACTGAGACTAAAAATCAAATGCAGTGTCAAGGTCCAGACAGATTGGGACACCGGGCAAACTAACAAATGCTGAGACGCAAAATTTGGAGCAGATTGTTTTCTAAAACATTTAGTATTAATAGACTTTCCATGCCAGCAATTCAAGTGTACACTAGTAAGAGCTTTTGCACACTCTGGTTAACATGCTTTAAAATCAGCCCTGTCGTCTGAAGTAATGCCTTTGAACTTGGAACTGCCTTAGAATTTTCATTCTTTTGCCACAGGGGGAAAAAAACCTAGCAGAACAATGAGTCAGTTTTTTCACTAAGTTGCCTAAGTCAAATGTTCTTTAGAGACTGTTCAGAGAATTGCTTGTGCAACATCCATCTCTCCCTGTGTTTCTCCAAGCGCTCATCGCAGTCTCTTTCTGAAAGTCTTCTTTGTTTAGGTGTGTGCTGTACCTGGGCTGACTCTGTCCCTACTTCTGAGTTAACCATATCCAGGTACAGATCTCAAAAGGACGGTGTGGTGAAGAACCCTGAGATAGCGGCCCCCAACTCCTGTGTAACCCTAACTTGGTTCCTTCTCACCCTTTCCAATGCAGCTTATTCTGAACCTACAGACTGCGCAGAGTAGGGGAGCGTCGTCTCTCCTGAATGCTGCTCTCCTTCCTCCCAGGGCGCTCAGGGCCCGGATGTGTAGCCTCAAGCTCGGAGACCACACAGGAGATTCCATATGCCCAAAGGAAAGAAAGGGTTCCTTTTTCTCACCACTGCTATATTTTCCTCTTCTTTCATGTGTTCCTGGACTCCTTTTACTCCCCGTGTCTCTCTGTGGTAGCTTTTTATGCAAAATTGTGTCGCACTGAGATGCAGTGACTTCTCCGGATGGAATGAGGCAGACGTGTGATAGCAGACAGACACACGTGCCGCAGCTCCTTGCTTCACTGAGCTTCCATTCAAATATCACTTTACCAAGAAAGGCCTTACCTGACCCCCAGCTGATCACCTCACTTACGGTGCTTTCCCTGAGAGCACTTAGCACCGCCTGTGTAGCTGTGTGTCAGTCCCTTAACTGATGGCATTTGTCTCTTCTGGAATACAATTATAACAGGAACTCACTGCTAGATCTCTATAGCTTAGAACAGTGCCCGGCACATAGTCAACCTTTAAGCTTTTTGAAACCAACCTGCAGCACTTGGGACGGGATGTTCTGACAGTTAAGGATGTGAGATTTACCTTAGTGAGCATCGTTACCATCATCTGTCTCAGTGCCAAATATTGGTTGTCTAGTGTCACACAGGCACGTGGGGGCAAGATCGCGCTCAGTCTCCTGACTCTTTGTATGAACCTAGAAGTGTCTCAAGAAAGAAAATCGACATTACCAATATTTATTGGTGTGTCTTTATAGAGCGTAACAAATACAAAGACCAATGCACGAAACTTAACCACAAGCAAGTCTTTACTGAAAACTGTGGACGCCTCATCAGAATGAAGAAGGCCAGGATGGCAAATGTTAGGGAAACCTGTAGTTAATATGAAAACTGCACATCAGTTTCTCTCCTTGAACTTCTAGTAGCAAGTGACTATACAGAAAGTAAGTGGTGAATTTGATCTCCCGCTTCCCTTTGGCCTAATTCTAACACGACGGCTCACTTCTCAAGATTTAACTGGGGCTGCTCTATTTTCCCATCCTGTAGGGAGAAAAGAGAGACTGGGGAAACATGTCTTACAAGTTTCTGAGTTGTGTTCCCTCCTTCGTCCCATGACCCTCTCGCTGCCCTGTGGACGTTGACGTTGGCGCTGGTGCTGGCGACTGGGCGGCTGGGGGTGGGGCCAGCCGAGAGTTGCTCTGCAGCACAGCTGCCACTTGCTTCCCTGGCAGACTTGTCTCCCTTCAAGGATTTTGTTTTTGAGGGTTTGTTTTGTTTTGTTTTATTTTGTTTGAGGAAGGACACAGAGAAGATTAAGCCAGAAGTTTGGATTTTTGCAAAGGTAACAAGATAAACATTCTTTTCTCATAAGATTTTTCAGAAAACTTTTTCAGCTGAAACTTTCAATCTCAGCATAACAAAACATTGAGATCTGTGGTAAATTCAGTCTGTGTGAGACAAAACACCAAACTACTTCAATACTAATTTGTTGAATAAGTTGAGCATATTTTCCTTGGCTTGATCATAGTGTGTTCTGATTTCCATCAAAAGGAAACATTCTGTCACGTTAATATACATAGCCACAAAAACCCTGCACATGGCTGCCACCCTTGGTGCTCTAAAAGGAAATCATTGTCGGAAGTTTTCTTAAAATATAAGAAGTCCCGTTCAAGTTTCACTGAACGTATTCCACCACCTGAGAAATTTTTACATTCTTCCTACTATTTTAAAGGTAGTCAGTTATTATATAGCAAGAAAACATCTTTTACTTCATCTGCCTGAAGTGCACACTACATCAGACGTCTAGGTCTTGTCATTGCCTCCTGTACTTTTTCTTAAAAAAATTATTAGAACATAAAGACAACAGTAACCCGAAAAAATCCCCAAAGAAAAATGATTCATAACCCTATAATTCAAGCCTAAATATTTTTGTTTTTGTTTATTACCTTTCAGTGCCTGCTCATTTTTGTACAGATAAGACCACGAGGTATATTAAAAGTAATAGTGTACTATAAAATGTTATATAGATATTAGTGACTTAAGTGATTATACCTTATTTCAAATTACTATTTAAATTGTTTTCGTTTTAATGATTACTGTTATCTTGTTTCTATCACTTTACAAGCCTAAATTTTTTTTTTTGTTTATTACCTTTCAGTGCCTGCTCATTTTTGTACAGATAAGACCACGAGGTATATTAAAAGTAATAGTGTACTATAAAATGTTATATAGATATTAGTGACTTAAGTGATTATACCTTATTTCAAAATACTATTTAAATTGTTTTCGTTTTAATGATTACTGTTATCTTGTTTCTATCACTTTAACACCCACACTATATAAATACCTGCCTGCCTTCTCTCCCAGACCCTTCTCAGAAAAGATAAAGGTAATTTTGGATCCAAGGCCGAGGATTTCAAACATTCATTACCCATTTCATAAACATTTGCTAAGCTGTTACTCTGTGCTGAGGGGTTGGAGATACAACTGTGAGCGGATCGGACATCAACCCTGCCCTTCCTAGAAATGTCCCTTCCTGCCAGCTTCCGGAAGAGGCTGCTGGAGGCGGGGAGCTGGAGCTGAAGCAGCTGCTCAGTGAGTGGTGGACACAAAATGGAAACTTTGCGATTACTGAGACTAAAAATCAAATGCAGTGTCAAGGTCCAGACAGATTGGGACACCGGGCAAACTAACAAATGCTGAGACGCAAAATTTGGAGCAGATTGTTTTCTAAAACATTTAGTATTAATAGACTTTCCATGCCAGCAATTCAAGTGTACACTAGTAAGAGCTTTTGCACACTCTGGTTAACATGCTTTAAAATCAGCCCTGTCGTCTGAAGTAATGCCTTTGAACTTGGAACTGCCTTAGAATTTTCATTCTTTTGCCACAGGGGGAAAAAAACCTAGCAGAACAATGAGTCAGTTTTTTCACTAAGTTGCCTAAGTCAAATGTTCTTTAGAGACTGTTCAGAGAATTGCTTGTGCAACATCCATCTCTCCCTGTGTTTCTCCAAGCGCTCATCGCAGTCTCTTTCTGAAAGTCTTCTTTGTTTAGGTGTGTGCTGTACCTGGGCTGACTCTGTCCCTACTTCTGAGTTAACCATATCCAGGTACAGATCTCAAAAGGACGGTGTGGTGAAGAACCCTGAGATAGCGGCCCCCAACTCCTGTGTAACCCTAACTTGGTTCCTTCTCACCCTTTCCAATGCAGCTTATTCTGAACCTACAGACTGCGCAGAGTAGGGGAGCGTCGTCTCTCCTGAATGCTGCTCTCCTTCCTCCCAGGGCGCTCAGGGCCCGGATGTGTAGCCTCAAGCTCGGAGACCACACAGGAGATTCCATATGCCCAAAGGAAAGAAAGGGTTCCTTTTTCTCACCACTGCTATATTTTCCTCTTCTTTCATGTGTTCCTGGACTCCTTTTACTCCCCGTGTCTCTCTGTGGTAGCTTTTTATGCAAAATTGTGTCGCACTGAGATGCAGTGACTTCTCCGGATGGAATGAGGCAGACGTGTGATAGCAGACAGACACACGTGCCGCAGCTCCTTGCTTCACTGAGCTTCCATTCAAATATCACTTTACCAAGAAAGGCCTTACCTGACCCCCAGCTGATCACCTCACTTACGGTGCTTTCCCTGAGAGCACTTAGCACCGCCTGTGTAGCTGTGTGTCAGTCCCTTAACTGATGGCATTTGTCTCTTCTGGAATACAATTATAACAGGAACTCACTGCTAGATCTCTATAGCTTAGAACAGTGCCCGGCACATAGTCAACCTTTAAGCTTTTTGAAACCAACCTGCAGCACTTGGGACGGGATGTTCTGACAGTTAAGGATGTGAGATTTACCTTAGTGAGCATCGTTACCATCATCTGTCTCAGTGCCAAATATTGGTTGTCTAGTGTCACACAGACACGTGGGGGCAAGATCGCGCTCAGTCTCCTGACTCTTTGTATGAACCTAGAAGTGTCTCAAGAAAGAAAATCGACATTACCAATATTTATTGGTGTGTCTTTATAGAGCGTAACAAATACAAAGACCAATGCACGAAACTTAACCACAAGCAAGTCTTTACTGAAAACTGTGGACGCCTCATCAGAATGAAGAAGGCCAGGATGGCAAATGTTAGGGAAACCTGTAGTTAATATGAAAACTGCACATCAGTTTCTCTCCTTGAACTTCTAGTAGCAAGTGACTATACAGAAAGTAAGTGGTGAATTTGATCTCCCGCTTCCCTTTGGCCTAATTCTAACACGACGGCTCACTTCTCAAGATTTAACTGGGGCTGCTCTATTTTCCCATCCTGTAGGGAGAAAAGAGAGACTGGGGAAACATGTCTTACAAGTTTCTGAGTTGTGTTCCCTCCTTCGTCCCATGACCCTCTCGCTGCCCTGTGGACGTTGACGTTGGCGCTGGTGCTGGCGACTGGGCGGCTGGGGGTGGGGCCAGCCGAGAGTTGCTCTGCAGCACAGCTGCCACTTGCTTCCCTGGCAGACTTGTCTCCCTTCAAGGATTTTGTTTTTGAGGGTTTGTTTTGTTTTGTTTTATTTTGTTTGAGGAAGGACACAGAGAAGATTAAGCCAGAAGTTTGGATTTTTGCAAAGGTAACAAGATAAACATTCTTTTCTCATAAGATTTTTCAGAAAACTTTTTCAGCTGAAACTTTCAATCTCAGCATAACAAAACATTGAGATCTGTGGTAAATTCAGTCTGTGTGAGACAAAACACCAAACTACTTCAATACTAATTTGTTGAATAAGTTGAGCATATTTTCCTTGGCTTGATCATAGTGTGTTCTGATTTCCATCAAAAGGAAACATTCTGTCACGTTAATATACATAGCCACAAAAACCCTGCACATGGCTGCCACCCTTGGTGCTCTAAAAGGAAATCATTGTCGGAAGTTTTCTTAAAATATAAGAAGTCCCGTTCAAGTTTCACTGAACGTATTCCACCACCTGAGAAATTTTTACATTCTTCCTACTATTTTAAAGGTAGTCAGTTATTATATAGCAAGAAAACATCTTTTACTTCATCTGCCTGAAGTGCACACTACATCAGACGTCTAGGTCTTGTCATTGCCTCCTGTACTTTTTCTTAAAAAAATTATTAGAACATAAAGACAACAGTAACCCGAAAAAATCCCCAAAGAAAAATGATTCATAACCCTATAATTCAAGCCTAAATATTTTTGTTTTTGTTTATTACCTTTCAGTGCCTGCTCATTTTTGTACAGATAAGACCACGAGGTATATTAAAAGTAATAGTGTACTATAAAATGTTATATAGATATTAGTGACTTAAGTGATTATACCTTATTTCAAATTACTATTTAAATTGTTTTCGTTTTAATGATTACTGTTATCTTGTTTCTATCACTTTTCCCCCCCCCCTTAGGACAAATTAGCTTAAACAGTTTTACCAAGTCAAAAATAGGATTTTGTTAGCTTCGACAGATTTGTTGCAGCCACGCCAGCATTGTGTGTATTATCTCTTTTAGTACTTGTAAAATACCAACTCAGAAAGTTTGTTGTCTACAATTTGTAAATTACAAACTTAATAGTGATCTCTGTATTTGGTTATTTGAGCTTCTTCTCAGGACAGTTTTATGCTCATAGCTCTGGAAGCAGGTGCTCCTGGTGCCACTGATGCTCAGGGATCTGTGAAGATGTTCAGGGCCCTCTGAGAAGCATGTGGGTGCCGCCTCCCTCCTGGAGGGGCGCCCTGGGCAGTGCAGCGCAGTACATGTGGTCAGCCCATCATGACAGAGACAGCTGCTCTGACCATCACAGTGGACAGTGGATGTGTTACAGGATGGATGTGCTGTCATAATGGAAAATAAGCCACATGGGTTAAAGCTTAGGCAAAGGGAAATAAATTCAGGCGCCGTAGTAGACCAGGCTAAACACAGTGTCTCATATATACGGCGTGTCACTGTGTCTAGCGTTTTTATAGCTTTACCCAGCATGCCTTCTGGTGCGAACGTTCGTCCGTTTACATTTACTCCAAGTAGTTATGTCTGTCTTGTGCTGTCTTCTGAATTACTTGTTCCTCAGTCCTCCTCTTTCTGTTCTCTTTTATGTTCCACAAACATTCTTAACGGAGCATTTTATTTCTCTTGTTTTTCTAAAGCTGTATTTTCTTGCATACAATATGCTTAGTCAATTTAAAATTATTGGATTAAGTTTGGTGTATACGTAGAAGTAGATACACTTATGTATATACCCATATGTATAGAAACTGAACTATCACAGTTCCTTCACTTGCCGTCTGTCCATCCTCTGTCCTCTTACTGCCATGTATATTAACATCTA